GAAATAACTTGGTTCTTCTGAATTTGACTAGAAATAAGGAAGCTCAAGAGCACTCTCCATTTATATGCTTTCTGCTCACTTTGCACCCACCCGGAGCAATTTTACTCTGAAGTGTACAAAAATACTTTATGCATTACTATTTTACCAAGTTCATTCACATTCTAAATTCACACACACACACACACACACACACACACACAGAGAGAGAGAGACCATTTTTTTTTTTTTACCAGATTGGTGAATTTTTGTGGGATCAAATAGGTAATTAGGAAAATAAGCTGGACTTTATTATAGGACTGTGGCCTCAAACATATTCCCTTATTATTGAATTTAGCAAATATTTTGTAACTATTTCTGTTTATAATTTTTATTGCCTAGCGTGTGTGTATAAGTTTGTTGGTAAACGCTGTAAATGAATTTGTAAACAAGCTGTCTTTGGTTCATGCTGATGTGGAGGAGTAACATTTGAATACCTCTTGCATCTTGGGTTTGAATGGTTTTACATTTTTGTGTGTACGGGGTGTGTATGTGTTGGGGTGTGTGTGTGTGTGTGTGTGTGTGTGTGTGTGTGTGTTCTTATGTGTGAGTGTGGATGCACACACATCAGAGGACAACCTCAGGTGTAGGTCCTTGCCTTCCACCTTTGTGACAGGTCTCTGGTTCCCCATGTCCTCCACCAAGCTAACTGGCCTAAAAGCTTCCAGCGGTTCTGTTGTCTTCACCTCCCATCCCACTGTAGAAGAGCTGGGATTACAGATCGTGTTGCTGCGCCCACTTTTATGTGGGCTGTAGGGATCAAAACCCAGATCCTAACACCTGCACAGCAAGAACTTTTGCCTGCAGGTCTGTCTCCCCAGCCCTTAGCTCTGCTTTCTATCCACACTGGCATTGGCTCAAACTCTATATATGCATCTCTTCAAAATCCACTTCTCTTCCAGCAGATCCCAGTATTCCCCAGGCAGAGGAAGCCCCGAATCCTTTGCCGTATCAGCTCCCAGACTCAACTGTTTAACACTAACCTCACTCTTGCAGTGGTTTGCGATGCTGTCTCCTCCATACGAAGGGACTGTCATCAGCATTTATCAAAGCTGTCAGCTTGCAGCAGCTGCGTGGTGTGAGGAGCACTACCGGGAGTTGACTTGGTAGAGCGCTGTCTTCCAGTCTAAGGGTACATAGATCTTCCAGCAGCTGCACTACACCTGTTTCCAAGTGCCTAGTTCTCAGTTCTCTGTTCCCTATGCATTCTCCCCTGGTGACCTTCCAGTCCCCCAGACACTACTTTCCTCTGTCACCCTGCTCCTTCCCCTTCTCAATTAAAAGTCAGTCTGACTGTGGGTGTGGCTAGTGAGGAAGGAGGGAACCTCCAGGATTAAAACACAGGATGATTTAAAATGTAGATGAAAATACAAAAGAAATGAGTATCATCCCAAGTTACTATTGAAGGCCAGTCAGACAACTCAGAAGGTAAAAACACTTGCTAGCAAGCCCACTTTACCAGAATTCAACACGCCAATTCATACGTAGGCATCAGGTGGTAAATGGGGATTTCTCCCTAAAAGTTCACTGAGGGACATACCTAAAACCAGTCCATGAACAGAGAGACAGCAATTTGAGCAGGCCAGTGTCAAGTAATGGGGAACTCAGCTGGGCTCTCTGCCTGTCTGTCCCTTGGTGGATAGTTCAATGACAGGTCAGTGTGGCCCTCAGAGTGAACTCTTTACATGGTCTTGGTGAGAGGTGCTGCACTCTTCGTAGGCCTGGTATATTTTACAAATCTTCAGAGGTTTTCTGATGTTGTAATAAATTCAGGTGTTCATGTTCCCAGCCTTTGGTAAGTTTATAAATGGCACTGATGTACTGTCTGGGATATCACTGTTGCTCTGTCTGGGATGTCACTATCAGTCTGTTTCTTGTGGGTGGTGATGGACAGGAGGTGGTGAATGGCACGTAGTACTTTGATGTACAATAGGTGCTGTCATCCTGTTTCCATTTGCACTCAAGATAGAGCCAAATGCTGTTTAGCTGTTTTGTAAAATGAGTAGCAGGGAGCTTTCGTATATAATTTTGTTGGTAAGATACAGGTTTCCTTAAAGGGATCAATCATCTCAGTTTACATACATGCATGCATACATACATACATACATACATACATACATGTATACATACATATATGATTGTTCTTTGGTCATATTCCCCCCTTACCCTGTCTTGGCCTTCCCCACTCATACTGGACTCCATCTACCCCTCAAAACAGTCCCCTTTCATGATAGTATATGTGAGAGAAAACACACAATATTAAGGAGGAAATAATAGCTTTGAGGTCAGAATTGGGTTCTCGAAATAGCCTTTGATACGTATAGTACTCACTCACTCTTCTGAGCCACAGATTTCTTTTCAAAAGAATGACACACTGTATGTGGTGTGACTGCCATAAGCCTGATGCATACTTGCTAGTGGCCTCTTCCTTTGCCTTCCATGTTGTTCTTAAAGCATGTAACACATGAAATAATGACACTCAACACCAGATGATCTCTGCTGGGAAGCAGAGACAAGACAACCCATCCACCCATCCTCATCCTCCTGAGGGAAGCTCTAGGAATTATATAGAACACAACATGTAATTTGTGTGAGGGAGAATGTGGATACACATATGTGTAGGTCAGAGGTCAACATTCACTGTCAACTCTGCTATCTACCGTGTTTTGTGGGATAGGGTCTCTAACTGACCTGAAGTTCATTGAGTAGGCTACACAGGGTAGCTTACAAGCTTCAGGAATCTATGCCAATCTCCATGTGCCACCGTGCCTAGCTTTTTATGTAGGTCCTGGGAATCAAGCCCAGGTCCTCATGTTTGCATGTGTAACACCCTGCTAACTGATCCATCTTCACAGTCTACAGTAAATACTTTTTACTCAGAGCCCACAAGAATCGCTGAGGGACTGATAATATGTCCCCAGGGCACTGTGGTTTAGATCATTTCAAGTGGGTCACACTGAAAGACCAGTCAAACTACAGCTACTGTTCATTTATCCACCTGTTTCTTCTGAGCAAAACAGGGCTTGCTATAGTCCCTCCCACCATGAGTCAGCATTAACCTGGAATGACTGAAATCAAACACTTGAAACTTGTGCTTGCTAAGACACAGCATGCTAAAACAAACAACAAAACTGTATTGACATTAGAAAACCCTTTACTTAAATAGGCTAAGAAGGAAACCCACCAACTCCCAATACCCTGGCTTATCACCAAGGTGACAATTTCACACCATAGTTCTAACACCCTGGCAGTACTGCTGTGTCCCACCCCCTCTGTACTCTCCCTCTCCTGGTCTTGAGTTATTTCCTACCTTTTCACTCATTGAACTTTGCTAATTTACTTGCTGAACCTTTTCTCAGACTTACTATTGAACTTGAAATTCTGCAAGGCACTGTGAATCTATGGGACTTTCTGCCTATTGTAGCACCATGATCGACGTATAGATAGGCAATGTGTTGCCTTTCCCTAAAACTAGTTTATTCATCTCTAAGGTATGTTGAGACTTACAATTTACAATGGTGAAATTCTTTGCACTAAATTTTCTTGCTGTGGAGAATGAAATAATATACTCTAAATTATAGTAAATTAATGACAAATTAAAGGTCAAATTTTAGCATTTGACATTAATTATAAAATTAAATGCCATTACATTTAATAATAATATTTGTAAACTCTATGGAGTCAACTGTATCTAAATATCAACTTATTATGCATTAACTAGATTTCTAGATGTCTTTTATGGAAAATAATTAAAGGATATATCATTTGTGATGTAAAATTTTAATGGACTAAAATTAGCGTTCTGCTGAAGCACGTTGAATTTGTGCTCAGAATTCCTTACTGTAATCTGAACTGAGGTGTACCATTTGTTTTTGGTCACTGCTCTCCAAGGTTATTCCCTCATGCTGTATTCTAGAACACAGGCTTCTTTTAGTCAGTAAATAGATGCCCAGTTATTTATTAATTATTGCTAATATTGCACGTATCATACACCGAGAACAATGCTGCCCCTATACCCTTACACACACAAAGCACATGGTTCAAATGAATTGACTGTGTTGCCTGTTGCCCAATTCTTTTTGCCTCCCCTCCCCCCCCCCTCTCTTCAAGACAGAGTTTCTTTGTGTAGCTTTGAAACCTGATCTGGCACTCGCTCTGTAGACCAGGCTGGCCTCGATCTCACAGAGATCCATCTGTCTCTGTCTTCCAGCACTTGCCACCACCACACTTTTCTAACAGAATCACAAAATTTTATAATGCAAACAATGTTTCTTTATGAAAACAAAATCCAGGGCCTTAGAGAGATTGTCTTAATCTCTCGAAGCTATGAAGCAGGGTAGTGAGAGGGCTGGGGCAGGGCCCCATATACCTTCTCGCTGCTTCTTGGAAGACCAGTCTTGTTTTCCTTCCCTCTGAGAGCTGCCTCTGCAACCTGGGGCTAGCGTGTAACTTTGCACAGCGTGTTACCGAGAACTCTTCTCCAGGGGTCTGCCTATAGGGTGCATCGTTTACTTCCATGTTACTGTGACAAAATATTTTAAAAGGAAGAAGGGCCTATTTTGGCTCATGGTTTTAGAGCATTTTCCAGCATCATGGTGTGGAAGGTGAGGTGAAAAAGAGCAGCTCCTGTCCTGGCAAGTCCTCGTGTCATGTGTCACGCAGGCCCGGAAGCAGAGCAGAATTTGGGCAGAAGCTGCTTCATTTGGTGCCAGGCTGACTTTAGGGCTTTGGTCTTTGTTCCACAACCCACACACCGTTTTTTTTATTCTACACTTTCTTTTATAGGTAAATACATTTCCAGTTGGTTTTCCTGGGGAGCTTGGTTCATTGCCACCCAGGATCTCTTGTTGTTTCTCAAGCATCCTATTGATGCCAGATTCTCTGGGTAGCGTTTCTTGTGGGACATGTGGTTTGCATGTGATTTCTCACTGCTCCATGCTTTACTTTTCTTTCTCTTCTTGCAGGGTTTGTTTCCATTACCACCCTTACTGTGCTGGCCTATGAGCGTTATATCCGTGTGGTGCATTCCAGAGTGATCAATTTTTCCTGGGCCTGGAGGGCCATTACCTATATCTGGCTCTACTCCTTGGCATGGGCAGGAGCACCTCTGCTGGGCTGGAACAGATACATCCTAGACATACATGGACTGGGCTGTACGGTGGACTGGAAATCCAAGGATGCCAACGACTCCTCCTTTGTGCTCTTCTTGTTTCTTGGCTGCCTGGTGGTGCCCCTGGGCATCATAACCCATTGCTACGGTCATATTCTGTATTCTGTTCGAATGGTGAGTTGAAGGCGGCAGATGTCCCTCTCTGAACCATGCCCACATCCATCACTGGGTGTGTAAAGAATCAAACTCTCCTATGTAATCAGTTACTTTCCCCGAGTTCAAAGACTCTTCAGGACTTAACATTTGGTAGAACTTTGCATGTGAATCATTCCCCAAGCACATCACTGAGGGATGACATTTGCTTTCTGCCTACCACCCTCTAAAACCAAAAGAAACAAGCAAAAGGCAGCTAGACAATACCAACCCCAGACCTTACATTATGCAGCACTCTTGAAAGTTAGGAATTCTCAGGGGGAAAGTTGCAATTTCCATAATTATATTCATTTCAAGATCACATGAACCCACTTGCCAGAGATTGGTAGAGCCGTAAGGGACTGGACACACACACACACACACACACACACACACACACACACACACACACACACACACACAAAAAAGGTTTCATATGGGAACCAGGCAGGAAGAAGGTCCAGTTACAGACACAGGAGGTACAGCTACATGGCACTGTTAGCTTCAGCAGTGTGCCATTTCCTAGTCTGTGTGTGTTAGGTGAGGGTTTTGTATTTATGACTGATCAGTGACTATTTGGGGAATGAGTTACAAGCAGAGTAGATACAAGGGAAGGATTGAAGACAGGAAGTGACTGAGAATAAGATTTGACTTGACTGTAGTCTGTTATTACCTTAGGAGAGCACTCCTTGCAGGCTTCTCTCTGTAGTATGTCCAGCATGACATAAGTCTGTTATCTGGATAGAGAATTTGTGAATCAGTGCTCTGGATAAAATGGTTTCCTCAGTCCTGAAGACCACAAGCCTTTCAGCCTGTGTTTTAGGGACTTGAAGATCTAGACAAAATAATGTATTTTGTCCTTAGAAAAGCATTTAAAAGCCATTAAAGGGAGCTTTAAGTTGGTAAGGCAATTGCTGGTCACGTGTGAGGACCTGATTTTGAACCCCCAGAATCTATGGACAGCAGTGATCTGTGTCTGTAACACCTGCAATCCTATAGCACGATGAGAGGCAGAGGTAGGAGAATCTCTAGAAACTTGCAGACCAGAGAGACCTTATCTCATCTCAGACAAAGAGGAAGGTGGTGACCTAGGCTGAGGCTGTCGTCTGAGCTCCACACAGGTGCTAAGGGATGTGTGTGCCCATTTGATCCTCTCCTCCTCCATCTCTCCCTCACTCCTCGCCCAACATGCTGTAGGATGTCCTTAGCTCAATCACAGTAGGTTTTAGATGAGGGAACTGAAGCCCAGAGAGATAAAGGCTAGGCCCAGCTTCAGGTCAGAAGTCAGTCAGTCTCCTGGGGCCCTGGGCATGTCTCTTTCCATGAAGGCAGGGCAAATAATGGTGGCTGCTGATCTCTTTAAAAAGAAAAGGGATCATTTTCAGTCCCATCCTTTCTTCACTTCCTGCAGCTACGCTGTGTTGAAGATCTCCAGACAATTCAAGTGATCAAGATTTTAAGATGTGAAAAGAAAGTGGCCAAAATGAGCTTTGCAATGGTCTTTGTCTTTCTCACCTGCTGGATGCCTTACATTGTGACCCGCTTCCTGGTGGTTAACGGCTATGGACATCTAGTCACGCCAACAGTGTCTATTGTTTCTTCTCTCTTTGCTAAATCGAGCACTGTGTACAATCCAATTATCTATATCTTCATGATCAGAAAGGTAAGCTCTGGAATTGACTTGTTTTCACCCCAGGGAACAAATAGAAATAGATTTTATGTGGTGTGACAACACAGAACATTGTGAAGGATAAAACAAAACAAACCTAAAGGAGCAAAAAACCCAAGTTAAGAATTCTGTCTAAGTCTACCGGGGAGATGGCTGCTCTTCTATCAGACTAGAATTTGAGTTCTAGCACCTGTGTCACATGATTCACAACTACCTGTAATTTTGTCTCCAGGGGATCCAATGCCCTCTTCTGGACTCTGCAGGTATCAACACACACACACACACACACACACACGCACGCACGCACGCACGCAC